CCGGTGTGCCGGCGCCTTTAGATTGCCGTCATGTGCACAACGTAGGTATTATATGGTATTATCAAATCCGAATGTCCAATTCCGTTCCGTAAGCGCATACAAAGAAACTAACATGCATATCGATATTACGATCGATATATTATTATTACGCAAAAACAATAATAAAAAATAATGAACCGAGGAAAACGACTCGAACGAGTCCAACTAGCCCAAGCAAAATCTAATAGAAATAAACTATTATACAATGATAAAGCATTATTACATATTGTTGTAAATTTTAATTCACTGCATAGTACCTACTTATATTAACCTGAATAGTAATACAGGATTAGATTTGTTTAAAAAAATCACTGATATTGAACAAAGTTTGGTGGAAAAATCGTTGGCCTTGAAACTACAAGGATGAACCAGTGAGCAACCATGCAGTAATTGCAGTTTCTACCTGAAAATATAGACTCCAAATATCAACTTTTGTATTCAAATGAGATTCTAAGAGAAATTAGGATTTTAGGACAGTGTTGCAATATTTATAACATCATAATTTAAAATATATAATAATATGATCACAAAGACGAAGGACAACCAGTGGGTGCCTTCTAATACTCCTGGCTTCAGAGCCACGCCAGTTATGATCTATAATCGTGATAGGTTATGTTTTTGCTAATAAGATTTATTAGTTATTTTTTAGTAATTTTTAAATGTAGTGCAGATAAATTGTGAAAACAATACTAAAAGCAACTGAAAATATTGGTGAATCAGAGAAAAAAAAACTATTACTCACCAATTTTGAAAAAACTTATCAGCTGTATGATACCATTGAAGGTAAATTTGGATTGGTAGTTATCTAGAAGGAGAAAGACTTAGGATGATGTAGGAGTTGCAGGACAAGAAAAAGACATAAATCACAAGATATTAAAGTGCAAATTTGCAAAATCTAATATGTGAAAAGGCTGTAATTAATGGAACAAAAATGGATAAAATTGGATTAGCTAACTCAGGAGTTGCCTTGAAGCGGTCAACTACATATCTCCCACAAAAACTAAAATATATGTTTAATCTAAATGTTCCTGGCAAAGGTCTGCAATTACAAGTATCCATTAGCTTTCTTGCTATAAATAAATCCATTCTTCAACGTCACAATACTATTTTTTCTGTCTCCCTATAAATATATAAATGAGTAGTTCCTTGCAAAACAATATGTAATATATGATTTAATGTATAATTAATTTCAACTAAACATGTAATATCTGCTTGAGTGAGAGATAATTGTGCAGCAAAACATAAATTGAGGCAATGTTAATGGTGTTCGAAAGGAGATTTATGTCAATCAGTTATTTAATTGCTCAATTCTCGTACTTGGGTTTTGTTTTACCTTGAAAGTTTCCATGCCGGCAGTGGGTATGGTAATAAATTTTTGGTAGGGCGTTTACTGTAACAAAATATCTGGTTATGATCGGTAATACATATATTTCCTGGTTAATTTATACGTTTGTAGATACTGTATTGAGCAATTGTATCTGGACAACAATTTAAAAACAACACAAGGAAAGGTACTAAATCAATCTTGAAAAATAGTAGTGCAAATTTGATGTTTATTCCTAGAGTTGATCATAAGATTCTCAGTTCGATACCTACTTTGGATTGCTTGATATCTGTTTTCACTTTATAAAATATATCCAAATATATTTTCGAGTGCATATTTATACCTCTGAGATCTATTTTCACTTAAAAATGTCAAGCAATAGTGATATCTATTTTCACTTGAAAATACAAATTGAAAAATTTTTATGTGTCTATCCTTGGTCAGCCTGATATCAAGCATTATTAGCTTTGTTATCAGCATAAATAAATCTTGAAGTATACTAGTCAAAATTTGATGTTTATAGTTAGAGTTGATCATAAGGTTCTAAGTCTAATACTTACCTTGGACTGCCTGATATCTGTTTTCACTTAAAAATATAAATATAAATATATTTTCAAGTTTATATACTCCTCCTTAGACATCTTGATATCAACCGGTTGTGATATATTATATATTTTTACTATATAAATACAAATAGCAATATTTTTAAGTGTCTTTCCTTGGCCAGTCTGATATCAAGCAATATATATATCTGCTTCCCGTTCTTTGGACAGCCTTAGTATCAACATAAAAAAAACTTAAAAAATGCTAATCAAAATTTGAGGTTTATAATTAGTGTTAATCACAAGTACTTACCTTGGACTGACTGATATCTGTTTTTACTCAAAAATATATCAAAATATATTTTCGAGTGCATATAAACCTCTCGTTGGACACCCTGATATCAACTAGTAGTGATATCTATTTCCACTTGAAAATATATATTGCAATATTTTTAAGTGTTTTTCCTTGGTCAGCCTGATACCAAGCAATATCAGTCTTGGTATAAGCATAAATGGATCTTAAAGAACACTAGTCAAAGATTGATATTTATATTCAGAGTTAATCACAAGGTCTTAAATTAGAGGCCTACTTTGACTGACTGATATCGGTTTTTACTTAAAAATATATATCTAGATATATATTCAAGTGTGTATAGCCCCTCCTTTGACATCTTGATATCAACAAGTAGTGATATCTATTTTTACTGCGTCCTCTGTTGGTCAATCTGATAACAAGCAATAGTGATGTCTGTTTCTACTTTCTTGGACTGTCTTGGTATCAGCAGAGGTGCTTTTGCTTGAAAATATAATTCCAAGTATATTTTCAAGTTTATAGAGCCCTTCTTTGAAATTGGTGCATCAAAATAAATCAGTATTAGGGAAATTCCTACTTATTCACCTAAATCTCACTTAGAAATATATATATGGTTTAGAAGTACCACAAAAAAATTTAAACATTTTTGTTGTTATGATGGACATTTGTTATGATAGACAATTCACAACAAAATGATAACTTAATTAATAATAACAAATTTAATTCACAAGAACTTTAGGTTTACTCTTCTGGGATTTTGATGAAACTTTGCATGATGATAGAGTTGATAGTTAATTCGAACAGTTTAAAATATATAGGCCTATTAAAAGTGTTAAGGGTTAATTGTAAAGTACTATGATTAAAACACTTGTTAGAGACTAGTAAATCAATCGCCATGCAAAGTTTCATCAAATCCTAGAAGAGTAAGCCTAAGGTTCTTCTTGTCAGTAGTTGATGCACAGGATCTCCTTGAAATAGAGTAGAAAATTCATTTATAATCTTAGATGAGAATATTACCAAATGATCAAATTTTATTACCCACAATCTGATTTCCCTATAGCACTACCATATTTCTGGTATCAATAAATAGCTTAATCTAATAATGACTTTAGCAAGTCGTAGATTAAAGAACAGATAATATCAATCAACAATATCGATAACTAAACGTTCGATTCGCAAATAGACTGCGATTAAATTATTTATCGATTATATCTTGAACCTCTGTAATACATTATACAATCAAGTCGTATTATGTCAGAAGAACATATCAGTGCGTGAGTTCAGGACTCTAATGTATGGATTAATAATTATTTAGTAATGCGGAAACAGTTTTGAGATCTTAATGAAATTACGTTTACGTTCATAAAATTGAATTATTGTATAGTGAAATATGTAATACTGACTAAGAACTAGGTGCAAGTGGCATTTGGCTTTGATTGAGAAGGATTAATGGCAAACTGCGTTTTGTAGGGTAGACTGGGTACGGTTGTGCCACTTTTCTTATTTGAAATAATTTAGTTAAGGGGGTTGTTCGGTTTTTATTTTTTTTTTCGATTTGGAGATTTTTTGATATTATGAAAGCTAAAAACCTTAGAATTATTTTAAAAAAAAATCATCTCAATATCTATTTTTTTGACGAAGTTATAGATCTCTATATGTATGATCTTCTGAAACCGTTTTTTTTATCGCTCCGCGAGCTATTGTATGCCAGCTGCTCTCTTTTTCATTATAATACCTCATGCACATAGCCATTTTAATAATGACCATCTTTGAAACGCCATGGTGTATTTAGTACATTAAATTAAATGGTGTATTTAGTACATTATATTAAAAACTTTAAATACGTTTTTCTCAAAATGTCAGGAATAATTTAAAATATGTATTACTAATACAAGGAAAATTTTGTTTATTTACCCTTTTCAATATATTATCTATCTCAAAAGATATTTATATAAATGACCAAGTTGCAGAAAAATATCACAAGTTGTAACAATTATAGCAAATAAATCTTTTAGTAAGTGGTATTATAAATTACAAACAGTCGCAAGAGATAATTTTCGAAACATATATTGAACTTACTTTCATTATATGTAAATATATATATATATATATATATATATATATATATATATATAATCTTATATGCATATATTCTCAAATGGGCGTTTATAATTGTGGAGCAATTTACCCAGCTGTGAATCGAGCAAAAACTATTGCAAAGCACAAATTACATCAGCTGAAATGGATTTGTGCTACAGTGCACCTAATTGCATATATACACATATGCAAATTAATTTAATTATTAAACTACTCAAGCTGAAAGTAACACTAAAATAAAATTATATTTAGACCATACAAATATTAGCGCAGGGCGAACGCCACTTTGAATAGAAAGTCGTGTATGCCGATTAACTAAAACGTAATTGAATTTTATATGATACCATAGTATGTGTTTTTTAGTATTGGGTGTATATGAGCAATAATAGATCTAAGATAATATAAAATCAAAATTTTATGATATTTCATAATTAAATCACTTTTTGTGAGCTTATATTATTTAAAAATAATAATTAGAACAAATCCGAATTACTGTGTTTTTCGAACTTTTCTTGAATTTTCAAGAATTTTTACTAAAACTGTTGAACAGAAAATGGATTTTCTGGCGAAAACAATCTTTACTTTGAGGAAATTATTTTAATAATACTGATATTGCCAATTCGAATGAATAATATTAAAAAGAGTAATAATAAACAAAATTAAGTTTATGTTTTCTTCTTTCCAGGGAGCATTAGAGAACTACACATTCCTTCCGTTCAGTGTGTTCCTGGCGATCTTCTGGATCTTTACGTACAAAAAGGTGCCGGAAACCAAGAACAAGACATTTGAGGAGATTCTGGCTCTTTTCCGGCACGGAAATGGAAGGTTAGTGAATTTTCTCTATCATTACTGTAGTAATTAGTTTACTGGGATAGTTAGTCTTAGGTAAATCGTTACGAAACTCTAAAAACGATAATGGTTTCCAATCTGTGGGCTCCCTTTATACTATGAATACTACTATATCATGGTCTATACTACTGATACTGGTCTATAGTTGTATTTATTTTGTTTTTATATAACATTACGTTTAAAATAAGTTGACTTGACTCATTCATTTTTATATTACTTATTTTTATATAATTTACAAAACAAACTGATTTGACTCGTTTATTATCTCGTTTGTTCCGTGTACACATTTTAATTTATGCAATCGCTACCTGAAATATCTTGCATTCGATCTTCTTATATAAAATAAGTAATTCTAACGTAAAATATGCCAAATCATATTTATTCCATATATGCAATAAAGTTACCAATAAACAAATTGACAAAAAAATTGCTCTCAAACACCGTATGTGACTCAAGTTTAACACGTTTTTTTCATTATGTTCTTGCATAATGTAACATACTGGATATGTTTCAACAAATTGTGTTTTTTTGAGAATATCGAATCAATTTACGTAGTTATTTACTAATTCTATAATGTAAATGGAATAATTTTGTAATAAACTTGTCGGAAGGTGAACACATACGATTTGTTGATTAAATGCTATTGTAGTTTGCACAATTTTTTTAAATGATAATTTTGGGTCAAATTCAGAAGTTTCAAAGTCATGTATTCAATATGATTTACCTAGATTTGTTTGTCATTTTATGAATTTTGATTTTTGATAGACTACAACATCTGTCCTTATTTACTTTTTTAAATTTTAACCCAGAGAAAAGTTTTAACTGTATTTGGAAAATAGTATTTAATATTAATTTCTTCCATCAGAATGTAATTTGTGTAGCGCGAATTTTGTAATATAGTTTTCATACCTTTTAGAAATTAAATAGCCCTCAAATCATATGTTTGAATTTCCTTTTTCTAAGCTAATTTAGAAAATGCAGTGCAAACCTCCTCCTTCATAGCCTTGTTTAGGAACTTTTTTTCCTTATATAATTATCTATATCAAATTTAGTATGGTTCATTTACAGTTGCCGGCTTCAATTATAAAATGCATTACACTCAATTAATTTACAAAACGTAAACAACTTTCATCGTAACTTTGTTGTCAATATAATTACATAAATAAGAGAAAATTCCGAACAAGAAAATGTGTTTTGGACCGCATTTTTGTTCAGTACTCAGAGTTACGTACGTGTTTCTGTCAATTGCATAAGAAAGTTACAGTTCTGTCCATTTATTAACAGGAAAAAGAAAAAATAATAAATTAAAATAAACGTTAAATACGTTCGTTTTATGTGTAATTCTCTTGAGATTACTCAAGGTCGGTCAGTGGGTAATTGTGGTAAAATGAATGTTTCAGACTGAGAAAAAAAACAATTTCACTTTCTTTAGCCTACAAATTGGAGTATTTTTTGGTATTAGAAGCAGTTTTATATTTATGGGTTTAAAATGATTCACTTATTAAATTAAAATAATATAGTTTTGATATGTAGTCCTCACATGAGGATTTTTCAAAATTTAAGCTGTTTGACCATGATAATCTTTCTCTGTTTCGTTCCTTCTCGAAATATTAAACATATTTTTATAAAAACTGTCTTTTTCTAAACGAAACCCGCGATTTTTCAACTTCTTCTGAACCGATTTACTTGAAATTTACAGTGTCTTCTTGATATACTTCTCTTCAGTATGAACTCCGCTCATTCCTAAATACTAAACTTTACTATTTTTATCAAAATCCGTGTAAAACAAAGTTACAGATTTTTTTTGAACAGTCGCTATTTTTCAACAAAAATATTCACTAAATCTTCTTTTAAATATATTGGTTTCAAAATGTAATGTACTCGGGTTTAGGAAATCAATGTTATGCTAAAGATTATTCATGTGTTCTGTAAGCATTGTTTTATTTTGATTCTTTTTTTTTTAATTATTTCTGTGTTGAGAGATTCTTTTGTGTAGATTTTGGCTAGTTTCGCTAATGTAAAACCCTTGGCAATTTTGGCCAAAGGGTGAAAGTTATTTATGTGTTCTGTGAGCATTGTTTTATTTTGATTCTTATTTTTTGAATTATTTCTGTGTTGAGAATTTTTTTGTGTAGATTTTGGCTAGTTTCGCCAATGTAATGGCAATTTAGACAATTTAATTTGCATACGTAATTACTTAAAATTTTTTAATCAAATTTAGATTTTAATTTAGTAAATTATAAACGATCTTTATTAAACATGAAAGTGTTAATTCTGATTGCTGTTAAAAAAAAGGTTTGAAGACTAAAGTATTAATTATGATTAGTAGTTTTAACTAGTCTCAAGTTGAGATTATATGGTTTCCATAATCTTTTTTATAAAATTTTCTATAAAATACAATAAATAGTTTATTTATAACCTATCATCTTCAGTCTATGCAAGGTCGTTCAGTGGGTAATTGTGTATGTGTTCCAATGAATGTTCCACATTGAGTGAAACCAATTTCACTTTCTTCGGCCTACAATTTCTGAGCATTCCGCGGTACAGATCACGTACATTCCGTTTAAGGAAATATTATCGGCGACGGTTTACCTGTTAAGTTCTTTGAATGTTTCGCTTCCGCATGGGAAAATCATTAGCTGAGTTAATAGGCTGCTTAGCATACCTTTGTCCAGGCAGGTAAAAGACATATATTGTTCACTTGATGAGTAAGAAATTTTTACCCATTGATAATTTTCCCGTAGCATAAAGATCTCATTCAAACCTAAAATTTCTATTTTTTACTTCGTAGATTAGTAAAAAATCTAGTTAATGATATTTTTTACTGTATGAAAATCTAAATTAAATCTTTTTTTGAAATGAGTATATTTATTCTGTTTATAGGTTTTAAGAATACTATATATTATTTTTAATAATGATATTGCACTTTTGTGGTATACCAACAAACTCTAATATTTTTATAACAAATGGATTATGTATCGATTACATTTACACCTTTTTCTATTAAATTTCAATCGTAGTTGACGAAACAAATACACATATTCCATATAAATCAATTCCTCACGTTCATAAATTAAAACGAAAGTTCACAGCAATCATTTCGCGAAAATTCAAATCACGATTAACAAATTGGTTTTATTCAATTTGCATTAATGCATCACTAACGATCGCTCTGCACATACGTCTTACTCATATTTAATATGGAAATAGCTTAGGAAAATATTGTTTTGTAACAGCCTAATTATTTTAATGAGATCATTATTATAACATATTCACACCGAGAGGATTGTAGAAGTTTTTTCGCGGTTATTGTCGTACTTGTACAGACTTGAAGCCTCATGAGTCTCCGCCGAGGAATGTGTCCAATTACGCGTTCAAATTGTTGACCAACTTTGTATTATTAAGATTCAAAAGGAGATCATGCAGATTTTATCAGGGATTGATAACATTGATAAAGTTTCAGTAGGAGATGTTTGTTTTTGCCTGAAAATCCGATTTACCAAATTTCTTTCATAGACGTCTCGAAAGATATTAATTAATAATTATCCTGGCAAATCGTTATTATTGATTCATATTCAAATAAGATTATAGGTAGACAGATAGTTGGCTAGAAGGGCAGTCAAGAGAGATGAATAGACATGTAGACAAATGTTTAAGTAGATTGGTGAGCAGGTAAACAAAAAGTGAGGTAGACAGGTGAACAGGTAGACAGATTGAAGGACAGACTGATAGAAATATATACAGCTAGGCATATATACAGATATATACGGATACATTCATACAGAGATACATATATACAAATATACAGAGAGAGTTAGAGACAGATTGAAAGATGAAATGATTGATATTCGGATGGTCAGATAGATCGAAAGATGGACAGGTTGAAAAAGAAGCAGATAGGCAACTTGAAATACGGACAAATTGAAAGAGAGGCAGATTGGCAGATTGAAAGAGAGGCAGATAGGCAGATTGAAAGATGGACAGATGGAAAAAGAGGGGGATAGTCAGGTTGAGAGATGGACAGATTGAAAGAGAGGCCGATAGGCAGATTGAAAAGTGGACATATTGAAAGAGAGGCAGATAGGCAGATTGAAAGTGAGGCAGATTAAAAGATGGACAGGTAGAAAGAAAGGCAGATACACAGATTAAAATATGAAAAGATTGTAAAGTAGAAAGACTGGTTTACAAGTAGACTAGTTTGCAAGTAGACTGGTTTAAAAGTAGACTGCTTCACAAGTAGACTGGTTTACAAGTAGACTGGTTTACAAGTAGACTGGTTTACAAGTAGACTGGTTTACAAGTAGACTGGTTTACAAGTAGACTGGTATACAAGTTGACTGGTAAACATGAAGACAGATAGACAAATAGTTACCTAGAAACACTGACTTCTTCAATGCTTTGTACTACAACCTACATTATAGCAGTATGAACCACGACTGTATTTTTATATATGGAAAATATATTTAGGCAACTGTGTGATATTTTATTTAACATATTGGTGAAATATCTAATATCATTTTATATGAGAACAGATTTCATAAATAATAACTTCGTTTGTCTAATATTATAATATCTTTCTGTGTTTTGGTTTTGCCAACTCTGGTGATGTTAAAGAAGTACTTAATGACAACAGAGTATGCAAAAGGAAAAACGTGTTGCAAATGCGTATTATTATATGAAACAACTAATTGACTCTCGTAATTTCACTCTCTGCGTGTGAATGGAAAAAGATACACCGACAGTTGCTGAATGAGAAAATTATAATATATATGTACTAACTTATATTTTTAAAATACATATAATTAATAACAAAAATCAAACCGAATATTTCTTTGTTCTGGAGAAAATGATAATAATTCACATCATCTTAGCACGAAAGAGATCAGTTGGGAATTGATCTGGTTAGTGTTGGGTAAAAATTGGGCGGATCATTTCTTTGTAATTAATTTGTAGATTTTTTCTGATGAATCTTTGTA